GCTTAGTCGATTGAGCACGGGCCTGCGAACCAGACAATCAAGATTCGATTCCCAGTCAGGGCACATGCCGGGGTTGCAGGCCGGTTTCCTGCAGGCCACTTCCCAGCAGGGGATGCATGAAAGGCAACCATACATTGATGTTTCTCTCCCTCTCTCCTTCCCTTCCCCTCTAAAGATAAATAAATAAATAAATAAATAAATAAATAAATAAATAAATAAATAAATAAAAGAACCACACCTAAAACAAAAGCAAACTAAGTGGACAGCTAGAACAGGAACAGTACCACAGAAATGGAGATCACATGGAGGGTTAGCAACAGGGGAGTGGGAGGAGGAGAATGTGGGAGAAGGTACAGAGAATAAGTAGCATAGATGGTGGGGAGAAAATAGACAGGGAGGGCAAGAGTAGTGTGGGAAATGTAGAAGCTAAAGAACTTGTGACACATGGACATGAACTAAAGGGGGGGAATATGAGTGGGCGGGGGTGTGCAGGGTGGAGGGAAACGAAGGGGGGGAATGGGACAACTTAATGTCATAATCAATAAAATATATTATAGAATAAAAAAGAGAACAAGATCTGTTCTCAGTCAGAGAGAGAGAGAGAGGGTCCAGGTTAATGAAAGAAATAGGGGGGAAAACCTCAACTGATTCTCTGTTACACAATACTCTGTGGAAAACAATTTTTTTTGTGAAATGTGGGAAATGGCCTCCAAGACTGGTGCTTGTATCTAGAATCTGGAATAAATAGAAATTTAATATAATCCATAACTTGTAAAGTAAAATCACTGAGAAAAATCCACTTGAACCAATGCTAAGCAGCCATCCACCTAAGGCAGACACAAACTCATTCTTGGCAGAACCACCAGTGGTCATTTTGATAAGAAGCCTGGCAACCAATTTGTTTTTTTAAACAACACATTTCCTTTTTCGTTTTTTTATCCTCACTCAAGTATATATTTATTGATCTTGAGAGACAGAGAGAAACATCAATCACCCACAAATTATGTATGTACCCTAACCTGGAATCAAACCCACAACTTTTTGCTGTACAGGACAATGCTCTGATCAACTGAGTCACCTGGCCAAGGCAGAACCCTGGAAAATGATTTAACTTCAGGTAGGTTGTCCATTGGATGGAGATTGGAATCTCACATGGTAAAAATATAAACAAGTTTCATATTGAAATAAAATTTGGGCTGCCTCACCTAGAAGCATTCTCCCCATCTGATCATCCCACGCAAGTGGCACCCCTGCCTTCTCATCTTTCAAGTTTAGGGATCACATACTAGGCATTGCCCCCTCTCTGAGGGGCTAATCTGGTTTGGGGTTTGAAGATTATAAAGGTCATCTTTTCAACCACAGGTTGTTATTCTCAGAACCTCCTAAAGCAACTTTAGAACTCATGGTCAATAGGTATTTATTCTTTTAGGGCAAACTGAGTTGACCAGCAAAGGTCAGTGACTGGCAAGTGGGCCTTGGGAACCTATTATATGAGGCCAGTCCAGAAAGTATCCAGCCCATGACTGAAAAATAGAGACATTTACCGAAGAAGATACAAGACACAAGAAACATCATACACAGGACAGTGACACCTCAGTCCCCTTCAAAGTAGGCACCTTGGGACCTCACACAGTCCTCATACTGTATTTTCCTGAATGTCATTGACAGTCTGAAATCTCTTCCCTTTCAAAGGTGATTTTAGTTTTGGGAAAAGTCAAAAGTCAGAGAGCACCAAATCTTGGCTGTAGGGGAGCTGAGACACCTTGGTGATTTCATGTTTTGCCAAAAAAACTCTGCAGGAGACATGATGCATAAGTGGATGCATTGTTGTGATAAAGCTGTCAATCACCAATTGCCCATAGCTGCAGCCTTCTGAATTACCCAAATAGTTTCTGTGGAGGAATGTTCAAGCTTAATGCAAAATTTGATGCAGATTCATTGCTCTACCCACTCAGTTATTTTGAATGTGACAGTCACACAGTACACATGCTCACTCAATGGTGTCTTCCTCCCCCACTGACAAGTAGAGTGAAGTTGTCATTCACCCACATACATCCAGTCCACTCTCCTTGGCTGCCGGTTTATATCATGTCATGAAAACCATTCTCATTGTATTAAAGATGGCTAGACTCTTTATGGACAGACTTGTATGTCTCAGCATCTAGAGAAATAAGAATGTATACTTAATAGGTCCATTGTACAAGAAGCCCCAGGAAGTCAAAGGACCAGAGAGGAGCTCTCCATAAAACCCAGGTCAGCCACTGAGAAACAGTAGATGATTTGCTGCCCCACACCATCACAGTTAAAACTACTGCCACAGCCTGCTGCTGTACCTCAGTAGTCCCAAGCCTCCCCTCAAACCTCTTTTCTGGTCCTGCAACATATCAAGGGTAATGGACCTCGTGGGAAGAATTGGAGAGGAGACAGCCACAAGAGCAGTTCCTACCCTGTTCAGTGCACAAACCAACCTCCTCCTGCTGCTGCCACAACATCATTATCTTTGTTACCATAACCAGACTCCCCACATCTTGAGTATCTTTCCACACATTTGTTCATGCAATCTTTATCATCTCCCATGCCCCCTACCATGCACCCTCTCTTCCAGGCACATCATATCTTCACTCTATCCAAACCTCCAATGTCCAGCTCATATCCTACTTCTTCCATGAAGTCTTCCCTGAGCTTTGCGAACAGTAGGTCTCTAACAGCATGAAGTAGAATTCTGTTTGAGCATTGTCCTGTCAATATTTTTAATCAGGACTTGGATAGACCCAAATACTGCATGGTTACCTGACTTGTCATCACACTACCAGATGATTGACTCAGGATCTCAAAAATCATCTATTATAAGCTGAGATAATGGACTAGAACCATCAAAATGAACTTTGTTAGGCACATTGTTAAGGAAAGTAGGAACCCACAGAAAAGACCATTTTAATTGCAGTTACATAAGTATGGAATCTTGAGCAAGAAAACTCTTATCTTCCTATATTTTGTCCTAGTCAGAGGTACACTATTAACCACAAATCACCCAGAAGTCAAAGAACAGACTGAGGAGGGACCCAGAAGCCATGTCCTTAAGACTGACTGAAGACACTCAGAATGTATATTTTGGAGAAGAGAAGACTAATGAGGATGTGATGTCTGTCTTCTGAGGATGTTTCTTTGAAGAGGTGTTAGACAGTCTGGACACAAGGCAGAGCCAGGACCTCTGAGGATGAATTACAGGGAGACATACTTTTTTTACTCAGCATGAGATATAAGTTTCTAATGATTAAAGTATCCTACATGAAAACACCATCTCTTGAAAGGAACAAATGGTGTTCCTTTGCTCATTACTGCGTGACCATCTGATGAGGATGTAGAGACAAAAATCTTGTGTTTCCTGTATGAAACATCCAATTCCTATATGACTTTATATACTATATTCTTTCTCAATCATTGTCCTTAGAGTGGCAAAAGCTAAATTGAATATATCAGTGGATTGGAGGGGCAGGGATGTTGGGGTAGGAGAAGAATGGGGAGTGAATGCACAGCAAGCTTGGGACACAGGAATCATTAGGTCCACTTCCTTCTAAAGCTTTCAAGACTAAAAGTGCAGGAGGGGAACTCCCACCCTTGTCTCAGAGTCTTCCTCCTGGAAAGTGGTTGCTGAAGGCAGTGAATGAAGAGATGAAGGAAAGACCCCAACAGTACAAATAGAGGCTCAACACCCAAAAAGAGATATCTATTTGGGGTGAAATGGGAGTTCTAAGCAAGGGATATAAGAGAAAAAGGAAGAAGATGAATGGAGGAAAAGGCAAGGAAGGGTACTAGAAAGGGTAGAATCCCAGAAAATGGTAATCTGGCTGGAAAAGGGTGATGATCACAAAGGTTAAGGTGGATCAGTGAAACAGCAAGTCATGTGTGGGCTCCTCAGAGTGTGTGTCATTGTTTTTACATCATTGTCGACCACAGAAAAAAAAATTACCTCTCCTGGAAAAAAAAAAGGCACAAAGATGAGACTTGAGGGGAAACTGATGAATGTCTACAAAGGGGTTTCTTAAATGAAGGGGTCCTCAGACAGGGCAGAGTTGAGGGAAAGGAAAGGGGTTACATGAGCTGGTAAGAGTAGTGGCCTGGTGTAGTAGAGAAAACACTGAATGAGGAGTCAGGAAACCTAGTTTGAAGTCTCAGCTCTGCCACTGGTTGGCTGTGGATCCCGGGGATGTTACTCTCCTTCTCTGTGCCTCAAGGCCCTTCTGAGTAAACATTTACTCTAGTTGGGCAGTTAGCATATCGTGTTAATTATTTATATGTCAACCAAGTTATTTTGTAGCTAGAACATAATTATTTTTGATTCAGAAAATAACTTTGTTTATGTCTTTGTGCTTGGTGATTTGGATAACTTCATTTTTGTCCTCTAATAATTTTTCAGTGTTGTTGCCTTTGAAAACTTCTAAACTATTTCTTCTGAATCTGAGCTAAAGAGGGAAGGGGTTTTGCCCAGCCTGCACAAAGGGATGATGGCAAGTAGTGTGGCCAAATCTCCCAGTTTGCCTGGGACTTACGGATTTCCCTGAACAAGGGACTCTCTGTCTTTTGAATCATCACCCTCGTCGCGAGGGTGATGATTCACCCTCGCGACGAGAAAGATGAAGGTTTGGAGATGACCTGAAGAAGTGGTCCTAGAAGGGCTCTCCTGTTCCCTTTCTGTGTGGAGTCCTCCTTATTGCCCCACTGACTGGTGATGTCACAGCCCACTGTGATAGTTTTCATCACACGGCATGACTGATTCCCTTATTGTAAGGCTTGTGGAGATACAGGGAGGAGAAGGGAAGCCTTTAAACAAATCACAAGCCCCAAATGAGACAACTACTGCCAGGAAAGAAGCTGAAATGCTTGACTAGCACTGAGGCTATGGGGATTTTCCCTCTTTCTTTAAAAAAAAGAAGAAAAGAAAAGACCCAGTGGAAAAAAAAAAAGTGATGAGTTGTGAGGCAGACAGCGGGTCCTGTGCAGCCCCAGGAGATCACACACTCATTTGTTTAAATTTGCATTGACAGCTGCCACCTCGATATAAGTATTAAGCGGAGAGTTTCTCAACATCAGACAGCGAGTGACCAGTTTGGTGACAAACAGCTACAACTATGAACTTCCCCTTAACCCTGGACATGGACTTCATAAACTACAACCTGGATGACCTGGTGAGTAGGGATAGATAGCTCTTGGTTGCCCAGGCCCCACTTGGAATTCTAAATATTTTGTTCCCAGGGCCCAGAGAAGAGGGGATATCTATAGAGTCCTCTCCCACTATGGCTTGACAGAATCTAGACAGGCCCATTGGCCCATTCTATGGATGAAGCAAGTAAACAGAGCTATTGACTTAAATAGACAAAGAGGGAGTTGGAAGTATTGGTTCAGCTCTTGCATCTTCCCAGACTTGCTATGTGACCTGGAACAAATCACTTTGCCTTTCTATTCTCTCCTTATCTCTTAGGACTGGCATAAGGGGCTAGACAGGAAAGAACTTTGGAGGTTTTCTTAATGTCATGAGGCTGGCATTGCTAGTTGACCAACCAATGTATATTTATTTATCTTTTGCTATGTGATTGCATCATGGGGGCACTACATTATGTGTTAGATAGAGAAGTTAAGAACCTGAACTTAGCCCTTAAATTTGGCATGTGGTCTAGTGAAAAACAAACAAACAAACAAATCACTCACCAGAAGCTCTTAGACAATGAGTATGTGATAAATTGAGGAAGAGTGAGAACAGATGGTCAGCAAGGAAAAGAACCCCAGTGGGCTAGAATTCAGGGGGTAGGGGGTACCAAGTTGGTGAGAGAACTCTGTATTAATCCTAGAAATGTCTTAGAACACATTGTGGCCTCCCTCAAAGGACTAGAATCTCTAGAGATAAGGTATTCTTGGGTGGGCTAATAAAATAGTGCCCCAACACTCTGCCCCCAACAAGTCTCTCCCATGAAGCAGAGTGGTTCAGTTGGCTTGATTTTCACTGGGCTCTCAAAGGATGTGTGTGGGGAGCATCTCAACCAGAGACCCCAGGGCTCCTGTTTCCAGGCAGCAGAGGATTGTTTTAAGGATCTTTTGGAAACTTCTTTGTGGTCTTTTCTTCCTTTTCCCCCATGGCCAGTAGTACTTATAGAGAAAGGACCACTCTGTGAGCTGCACTCTGGTCTAAGTTACAAAGGATCCAAACTCTTTCTCCTATAGCCAAAATCTCTCCTGACGTTTAACTCACCCTCCTGCTCCCCTAGCTGGAGCCTACACTGTGAGTCCATCAACCACATTTCCAGACTTGCCTGGAATAGTCTGCCTCTCACTTGCCAGATTCTAAGGCTTGGAAGCATATGTAGAACATGGGAAGAAGAAGGTGAGGGGAAGGGCTAATTACCCAAGGCTGGCCTCTCAGATCTAATCCCCAGATAAAAGTAGAGCCAGAACCATCTGTCTAGTCAGACCCAATGAAAGATGAAATGCATGTCCCCTAGTTAAAGAATTATTAAGAATTTCATGATAGCAACAACTAAACACTAAACTAAGCACAGGACTCTTCTCTAAGCATAGGACTCCATGTGACTTCATGAGTCTCTCAGGCCCATGAAGCTGGCCTTGAGTCTAATCACAGAGTCTGGGCAATACCCCAAATGAGACTAAAACCCTACTGCCCTGACAAGGTAACATGCTGCCACCCTGGTCCCCAGTACTGACTCCCAGCCCTCAGGTCCCCAGTACTGACTCCCGGCCCCACCTGATTAGGTTACTGGGTGTTTGCCTCTGTCCACAGCTTCAAGCTGACCACGAACCCTGACCCAGTTGAATATCATATAACCTACACCAGACCTGGCTGGTCCTGGCTTCTGAGAAACCTCAACAGTTTCCCCTAACTGCACATCTCACTTCACTGTGTGACCTACTAGAGACAGGTGGTGGCTGGGGGCTGGGAGACAGCAGGGCATGTTCCATATATCAAAGAAAATCTGCAGTCCAGGGAGAGATACCTAGACCTTGCTTCATGTCACACTTAAAAGGAGTGGTCTTGAACCAGGCATCCCAGTGGGCCAGAATCCCCTCAGTCAGGGTCTAACCTGGAGCCCAAGGATCTTGGGACCATACAAGCTCTGGAGCTCTTCTTCAACCAGCTCCAAGTGCCTCGTTTCACCTGTACGTACTTCCTTCACACTCTCTCCCTACGGCTGTGGCCCCTCAGAAGTACAGACTCTCCCTCCAGCCCCATCCACTCACAGAAGGGCCTTGAGCAGTTTTGACAGTCTCCTTGACAGTGTCTCAGCACAGAAACCCCGGAGTGGCAGAGTAGAAGAGTGTTACATATAGTCGCTTCTCAACAAATATTTATTGTGATTCATTAAAGAAGGTCTTAGCTCACCTTTTCTCTAGGAGTTAGACTAGATTCCTTTTGCTTCCTATTTCTCTCCCTATCCTTGTCCAAACCACATATTTGTTTATTTTTCTAGAACACTGATTTCTACACTCCAGTGTTGGATTTAGAACTGGGGGCTCTTGGCCATAAGCCAAGTGTTGGTCATCCGATGCCTCCTTTCTCCTCTTGAAATCTAAGATCAACTCTAGCTGCTTAAAATGCCCATTTTCTTAAGAGGGGCTGCTAATCCCATGAATGAAGAACTCAAACTGAAAAAAAAAACAAAAACAAAAAACCTAGATGGCTAAGTATACAGGTCCCTGGGCAAGCATGTCAGGGACTCATCTTGGTGAGGAGGCAAGTCCAGGCAGACACAGAAAAGCCTCTGAGAGCATGGAGTCTCCTCTTAACAGACCCAGAAGCTGGGGTGCCTACCAGGGATGCTGTCATAAACTGCACCTCCAGCCCCACCCTGCATACCATCCAGGAGAGGAAGCCACTATAGAATAGGGAGAAGCTGGCCCAACCTCAGGGCCTGACTTCCCCTGACCCCTCCCCAGTGATCACCCCTCTAAACTATGAATTCAGTGTGATTAGAGCAGCACAGGCTGCAAAGCCCATCCACGTGTAATCTCGTTTCATTAAGGACACGTGAAGAAGAGGAACCAAAACCAATGCAGGCATTTCTGGGCTTTATGTTGGGGGAAGGGAGGGTGCCCCCACCCCGAACCAAGTCAAAAGTCCGAGAAGAGCCACAGTGGAGAAGGCCCCAAGTGGGTGTGGTTGCAGGGCTCAAGATGAGGGAGAAACCAGGGCCAGCCTGGGGAGTGGTCAGCATTGGGAGTGGAGCCCAGCAATCTGGGCTCAGGCACACAGACCACAGTCTCCATCAAGGAATTCCTGCCTTCCTTGAGGCTGGTCCACTCTGGCACCATGGCATAAAAAGTGGCCATGGATTTTGCATTGAGAATCAGGAAACAAGAATGAGTATTTTTTCAGGAATGATGGGACAAAACATTTCAAATCAGTACACACTTAGGAGCCATCTACCTGTCCCTCAGACTATGTGACTCTATCTCCAAAGTGCAAATTGATTCAGGGTGCCAAGGTAGACTTTCTTAAATCTAAAGACTCAGTGCAGAGGTAGGGTAGTTTAAAGCCTCCCCCCAGAACTACATTCCAAGTAGTACCATGTTCCTTATAGCTGAAGCCCCTGGGTAGAGATGGAAAATGAGCCTGGCAGGCTCACTTCTGAAGGGTGAGGACAAGGAAAGGAGAAGTTTGACAAATGGCAAACCAGACTCACATGGTCTTTGGGGAGTGTGGTCCTCCAAAAGAAGAGATGAGTAAAGGATGCAGACATTTACCCTCACCCCTTAGCCCAGTCTTATTTCTCCAAAATCCCCACACCCCTCAAGCCACTGAAGGGTAGAATGAGAGAGGTTGGCTCCACTCACAGCTCCTGACTCTTGGCTGGGAATACCCTGACAAGGACATAAAAGATGAGCCTGTGTGTACTGCTTATGGTCAGAGTGATGATCTATATCTCTGTGTAGATGCCTCAGGCCCCTGGAGTCCTAGGTCTTTGCTTGGGTGAACAATGCACTTAGGAACCCTGCCCCACTCCTTGAGGCTAAGAAGCAAAGACAGGCTGGGGCATTCATTGGCTGTAAGACAGACCGATGACAGAAACAAATAGCTCCCGCCCAGGTGCTGAACAACATGAAGATCATGGTTAAAAACTAGCTCAGTCCTGAGTAGGTCATGACAGCCAGAGAACCCAAGCATCTAGGTAGGAGACAGAAGCAAATGGCATTTGAGGGCAAGGCCCAGTCTTCTTTCTGGAAAAGGACTCCCTTCCCACACACTGGGGCTCAAACATTCCTCTTCCTCCCAAGGACCCCAATCCATTGTTTTCTAGTTCTGCCTGTTAAAAGGTTCTTTCTCCTCCTCTAACTGAAACACCCGAACTCCAACCTCTGCCGATTCCTTCTGGTCTGCCCTCTAGAACCTCACTTAATAAGACCAGCTTGCCCTCTTATCCACGGGGTCTCTTGCCAGTCCTTGAGGAAGTCAGCTGTCCAGGACTCAAGTCTCCTCTTCACTAGATTCTGCACCCCTGTACCTGAAAATGTCCCTCCAAGGTGGGGTTGTCAGAACCCTCAGCAAACTGGTCATCCTCGTCCAGACCAAGCAAACTGGGCTGGTGCCAGATACCCACCTGTAGGCTTCTGGTCACCTACAGTAAAGTAGCAGTAGCACTTCTGGTTGTCACATCACCCATTTGACTCATCCTAAGCTTCCAGTCAACAAACTCTGAGGTCTTTTTCTCATAAACTATTGTCAAGCTGGATCTTCACTAATTTGCCCTTGACAGTTGGAGTTTTAAACCTGAGTCTACTTCTATATTTTTCCCTATCAATTCCAACTGGTCAGTTTGAACTCGTAGTTCCAGATTGCGAAGAACTCTGCATTGCCCTAAAGTGTCCTCCAACCATGTCATCCAGGGCAGCAAGTGTAAAAGAGGAGAGGATCCAGGACGTATCCCTGGGGGAATGTCCTAGACACCTCCCTGCTCCACCTACTTTTAGAATGCCAGTCCCTAAATGTTAGCCAACCTTCATGCTGGACAGTGCAGGGCAGTAAGGCAGCCTCATTAGTTGAAGTCAGATGGGGCTTGGAGACCTTAATTATGTAGAGAGGGACCTAGGTCCCACAGTGGCTCCTGAGGAAAGAAAGAAGGGAGGGGCAGAGGAAGGAAGAAAAGGAAGAAGAGTAACATTTGTAATCCCATATTCCCTTCTCCTGGCACCTAAAAGTCAGACACAGAATGTTCTAGCCCCTTCTCGTCCTATCCCCAGTGCTCACAGCAATTTTCTACCCATGTTCCTGGCTCTGTACTTGACTTCATCCCGGTCATCATGTTTTCTTGCCTTCTTTGGGGCATGGGTCCCTGCCCAATGTGTAAGGCTATGGTCTACCAGGTACTAGCCTACACTCCATGCTATTATGGCCCAACCTGGGTACATCTGTATCCATACAGGGTGCGTGCTGCTGTCAGAGTGTGTGTATGCATGCATGAAAATGTGAGAGAGGAGAGGATCCATTACTGCTGGGCCAGATTGCCAGCATTGTCCTCCCTCTGGGCATGAGTCTTGGAGAGCACCCTTCAACATCCCACCCCTTATGGTATTCAGGATTCCTGATTCTTCACCTGCCACCAGGCCAGAGCCAGTCTTGCTTGTTTGGGGGAAGAATAGGGTACCTAATCCCCTGGGTACACTGGCAAGTGGCTTTAACACTTGCCACTCCCAAGCCCTCAAAATGTCTGTTTGATACCTCCTGCTGAGATGTATTGCCAACTCCCAGTACCCCTCAAAACAGCTTTCTCCTATCTTCCCCTCTCTGCCTGAGCACTTTGCCAAACAATACCTCTTGGCGAGGAGGAAAAAACTATACCTTAACCCCACAACCCTCATCTAAACCTGGGTTCTTGGGAGTTGGGGTCCCCACATCCCACTACACTAGCTTTAAATGAGAAATAAACCAATCAACATGGATGCTTTAGAGAGTAAGAACTGGAGTGCTTCTCGTAAAGGACCTTATAGCCAGACAGGCTAGCCACACCTAAGCCCTCAACAGGGCAGTAGGACAGCCAGGCTTCCACCACTGCCAAAGTACGTAGAGGCTAACCCCACTGACTACAAGCTCTGCATCTGTCCTCCTTCTGAATTGCTTTCCTCTGCATGAAGACTGCTCATCTTACTGTTTTCCCCTTTAATTCCTGCTGAATTCCAGTATGAGTCAATGGTTGTATTCAATGATGATATTGGAAATAGCTCCCAATACAGAGAAAGAACTCTAGGCTGTCAAGGGCATTGGGAGGAGGCAGGAACTGCAGAATGGTAAAAAAGAGTGTCTAAATGTCCACTGAGACACAGAGGGACTTGCCTAAAGACTGACTACAAGGGCCCCTGGCCTTCTCTGGGAAACTGCTCCCAGAGAAGTTCAGGACACAACTGTTGCATGTCCCTCATGTGTAAAACACACGGCCTTGTAAGGCTACCCTGGCTGGTGTGGCTCAGTGGATTGAGCACCTGCCTGCAAACTAAGGGTCACCAGTTCAATTCTCAATCAGGGAAGGCATATGACTGGGTTGCAGGCGAAGTCCCCATTATAGGGCTCTTGAGAGGCAACCACACATTGATGTCTTTCTCCCTCTCTTTCTCCTTCCCTTCTCCTCTCTAAAAATAAATAAAATCTTTTTTAAAATAACATAGCCTTGTGAGGTAGCTACAGAAGTCCTACCTCCAAGAGCTTCTCATCTAGAGAGGAAATGGACACCTCAACACTGAGTGCTGTAATAAATGCACACATAATGTAGGAAAAGAAATGTGATTCCAAATGGAAGAGCTAGGAAGGAGGTAGGAGGATGGGTTGAGTGGAGCCTTGGAGGAGGCGTAGGAATTAGATAGGCACATTTAAGGACTGCTCATCAAAAGGAAAAGTTTGAGCAAAATTTTAAAGACCAGAATGTGCTGGGGTGTTGAGGGCAGGCAGCCAGCAGAATGATGAGCCTGGAAGATAAGCTGTCTAAAGCCATAGAGTAGAAGATGAGGTTTGAAAGGCTAGAGGAATACATATTTTGTAGAGATTTAAAGGTCTTCTCTGGAGGTGTTTAGAATTCACCCTGTGATTCCAGGGTTTCCAAATGAAAGTAGAACCACTTTCTTTTTTAAAAAATTTTTATGTGTGTTTATTGATTTTAGAGACAGAGGAAGGGAGAGAAAGAAACATTGATGTGAGAGTGAAACATGGATTTGTTATCTCCCATAGCCCCAACCAGGGAGTGAACCTACAACCTGAGTATGTGCCCTGACAGAGAATCAAACCCCCAACCACTTGGTGTAGAGGATTATGCTCCAACCAACTGAGCCACCCTGCTAGGACTAGAACAATTTTCTTAAACAACAACAACAACGATAAAAAAAAAAAGCGCTTATGTGTGAAACACCACATGAGCCAAGAGTGGAGAACTCAAGTTTAAAGGCAAGAAGTGGAGGCTGAAGTCTGCCTCCCCTTCTTCCACCCCAGCCCCAGCAAAAGAAGGCAATGGGATCATGCTGCAGGAATGCCAAGCAACTGGTTCTGAAATTGAGCAATATGGGTTAAATATCTTTCCCCAAGAGAACATGAACTCCATTTCTTTTTGAGCACTGCATTATTTTCTGTTGTGTGAAAGCACTGAAGTTAGCTTACTCCAATCTTGCACTCTCTCACAAACATTACTTTTCTTACAACTGATTTTGCTATTCAATATGAACTGAAAAAAAACGTGTATAACTAAAGGGGAACCCGTAAAGAACTTTAAGCAGGACACTGATGTGTTAGGAATTTGTGGACTGGAAAATTCATCTGTCCTCTGTGCAGGAGATGGGTAAGAGTGAAGACCCATGAAGAGACAATAGTCATGAGCATTAGGGTGAGAAAGGGCTGGACTGAGGTGTTGGCAGAGGAATGCTGCTGTGGGGTATGGGCAGATGGCTCTGCCATTGTACTAATGTATCCCCTCACCCCCTTTTCTCAAAGCCACCTGCCCTAGGGACCAGAAGGAAAAGACCCATATTGAGGAATGGGTCTGCCTGCCACTGAGACTGAGTGTATGATCCACAACTGGGGCCCCTGGATGCCATTGCAACCACCCGTTTGTGCAGGATTACTTTTCCGGCAGGAGGGCAGCGTGAGACCACCCAGAGTCAGGGTGCATAATACCTTCTCCCATCCTCTCCCTCCCAACGCTATTGATTATAGATTGTTTTTTTTAAACCCACAGTACTTGCTTATAATTGTTTTTGAAATGCCATGGAGACCAATGCCATGGTCTATTAGGGGAAGGATGGGAAGAACAGAGATGGGAAGTGAGGTGGAGCAGGTGCAAGGGGACAGCTGTGAGTGAAAGGTATGAAAACAGGCACAACCAACCCCCCTCTTCCTTTGCGGTTAGCTGAGTAAACAACCTGAGCGCTGCTGCAGGGAGGGGCTAGGGAAGTGGGGTTGGGGAGGCTGGGGAAGAGGGAGCTTTCGGAGAGAGCGGGCACATACCCTCCACTTGGAACAGGCTTTCTCCCGCCATGCCTGGTCTCCTTCACTTCCTTCTGCTTCTGAGGCTGTCCTTACTGTTGGCAGAGAAGAGAGCCAAGCAGGGAGCTTACTAGGGATGAGAAGTAGCAGAGAGGGAGGTCGGGGCACTGCTGCCTAGTGGCAGTGGAAGTATTGGCTCTGGGGTTAGATCAAGTGGGTTGAAACAGACCTGATCTTTAGTGAGACACATTGGTAAAATAGGAATATTACATACCTGAGCCTGTTGTGCAGATGAATTGTATCAGGAGGCTATTACTACAATTTCAGTTATGATGACAACAGACAGGAATAGAGGGACAAATCAAGAGGAAGCCAGCAGACCACATCAGCACCCATTTATCAGTGGGATCCTAGGTTTTAGAAATTGGACAAGATGGTTCTTTGTCCCAACTACAGCCATTCCCAAACTGAAGTTCTCATCCTAGCCCCTGAGCCTGCAGCATTCCCAACCTGAGGATACACACAGAATCACTTACAGGTGCACAGCCCTTCAGGGTTTGTGAAACATGTCCACATCGTGTATCCCCTTTCATCTTCATCACTACCCTGTGAGCAATTAGTCCCTTTTACAGATGAAAGCTGAAGTTGGAAAAGGCAAAATGATTTGTTCAAGGACATATAATGAGAAATTGGGATTTGGCCAGTGGGACATATTGGGAGTGCAGGGACAAAAGCAGTTAGCCTGGGAGATAGGGAAAATCTACAAGGTAGTCAAGGTCCCTCTCTTGGAGGAAAGATGGGTCCTCAGTTCTCTGCCCTCCTGTCTCCTTGCCCATGCAGTACAAGGAATTAGGTAACTACAATGACAGCACGGAGAACCCCCCACCGGAAAATCACATCTGCTCCACAGTTGAGGGGCCCCTCTTGACCTCCTTCAAGGCTGTGTTCATGCCCGTGGCTTATGGCCTCATCTTCCTCCTGGGTATGATGGGCAACATCCTGGTGTTGGTGATCCTGGAGCGGCATCGGCAGACGCGCAGCTCCACTGAGACCTTCCTGTTCCACTTGGCAGTGGCTGATCTCCTGCTGGTCTTCATCTTGCCCTTTGCTGTGGCTGAGGGCTCTGTTGGCTGGGTCCTGGGCACCTTCCTCTGCAAAACTGTGATTGCTCTGCACAAGATCAACTTCTACTGCAGCAGCCTACTCCTGGCTTGCATTGCTGTGGACCGCTACTTGGCCATTGTCCATGCAGTCCACGCCTACCGCCATCGCCGCCTCCTCTCCATCCATATCACCTGTGTGACCATCTGGCTGGCAGGCTTCGTCTTTGCTTTGCCAGAGATTCTCTTCGCCAAGGTCAGCCAACCTCATCACAATGACTCTCTGCCACTCTGCACCTTTTCCCAAGAGAACCAAGCTGAAACCAATGCCTGGTTCACCTCCCGCTTCCTCTACCATTTTGGGGGATTCCTGCTGCCAATGCTAGTGATGGGCTGGTGCTATGTAGGGGTGGTACACAGGCTGTGCCAGGCCCAACGTCGCCCTCAGCGGCAGAAAGCAGTCAGGGTGGCCATTCTGGTGACAAGTGTCTTCTTTCTCTGCTGGTCACCCTACCACATCGTCATTTTTCTGGACACCCTGGCAAGGCTGAAGGCTGTGGGCAGTAGCTGTGAGCTGAATAGCTATCTCTCTGTGGCCATCACCATGAGTGAATTCCTGGGCCTGGCCCACTGCTGTCTCAATCCCATGCTCTACACCTTTGCAGGAGTGAAGTTCCGTAGTGACCTGTCACGAATTCTGACCAAGCTGGGCTGTGCCGGTCCTGTTTCCTTTTGCCAGTTCTTCCCAAGTTGGCGCAAAAGCAGTCTCTCTGAGTCAGAGAATGCCACCTCCCTCACCACCTTCTAGGTCCCAGCCCTGCTTTGTTTCTACTTTCTTGGGGAATGCACTGATGCTGGAACCCTTCCAATAGGAGCTGTGATCCTATGAGCTCACTTTGGCTGGTGTCCTTACATGAGGCAGCTAGATGAATCAATGCACCTTTCCAGGACATTCCTGCCAGCTCTTTTCTCAACTCTGGGGCTAGGATGGAGTCAAGTGAAGGAAAAGCAGCTCAAAGGAAAAACGAAGAATACCTGTACCCATTCGAATTACTTTGGGCTGAGGGTCCCATATGCCTTCTCTCACTTTAACCACCCAAAGTTCGAGAAACAAATTGACTTCTATCTTAGAAATGCAAAGTCGTTACCCTCCCAGAACTCACTCAATCATCTACACCATCTGCCAAAAGAGACTAAAAGCTGAACACCAGGGGATGGATGGAGGTTAAGGCTGAGAAAAGGCCAGCTGGCATCAGAATGTGGCCTTAACATGTCTCAGTCTCTAACAAACATATCTGCCAGGCCATCAGGCCTGGAGCGTACTGACCAAGCAGGAAGCTCAGACTGACTCAGATTAGGTAGCTGTCCCTGGCTCTAACCAAAATGGTACTGGATCAGCTCCATGTCACTGGGCCCTGGGTGGTTCTACAGACTGAGGGAAGATTCTACATCCACTCAGAGACCAGCCAGTGTCCTGGAGAAGAATTAAGGCTGAGCCACATAAAGGAGCACAACCAGAGGGGGGGTAAAAAAAAAAAAGATTCTCCTTCCCCGGTCCCAAGAAGGAATAATTATAAACCAAAGCTAGCTATCTCCTCTGCCCAGGGTGGAGAGGTCCCAGAGCAGGGTTCCGGGCACTGATGGAGAAGGCAGAGTAATCCCTCCCTGCCTCCTCCCAGTGAGTCGCACAGCCAGGAGAACCTCCTCAAACAGCAAAAGGGTCCCAACCACAGCAGAGAAAACACTTAGCTAAAATAACTAAAAGTCAATACTCTGGTTTCTCTTCAGATCACATAAATCTTTCGCCTTTTACTAAAATAGCTAAAAGTCAGAACCAATATATTCATCCCTGAGAAGAAAGACAGAGGAAAGAGGCCTCTGGAAGTCAACTCATACAGTGGAGGCCAAGCCCAGGACACAGGCTCTCTGGGCCTCAACAAGAGCCACCTGTGGCATCCCCTTCGGCTACACAGTGTGAGAAGCAGGCCCAGGCAGGGAAGTCCCTAGACCCCAGGAAGCAGGGCCCTGGCCTCAAGAGGACACTACTCAGATGGAACAGGGGAAATTGCTCTACACATGCTCACCCAACCAGCCCACCTGCTCTCCTTGTTCCACCCCAGCCTTTGGTCTAGCTGGAGTCAGAAAGCAAGTATCTTGCTGAGGGCACATCTGAGTTGCCTACTCCCCACTCAAGCCAATCAGCCAAGTTCCCTAGGAGGACCCCACAAAGAAAGCCAGAGATATGACTCAGGCACTGTGCTTTCACCACTGAACACTGGGGAAGTCTTCCTTTTCCTCCCACCCTCCAACAGCAAGCTGGGCACTAGAGGAGCCAGACATAGAAGCAAAAAAGCAAGAGATTAGATTTTTAATTTTCTCTTTTTAATAAAAAGGCACCTATAAAACAGGTCAATACAGTACAGGCAGCACAAAGACCCCCAGAACAAGCCTAAAAATTGTTTTAAAATAAAAACCAAGATGTCTTCACATATTGTATTTATATTTATATTTATATTTATATATATATGTATATATTTATTTATTTATTTATTTATTTATATAATGGTACAAAATGGCTGGGGTTATAACCATGGATGGAAGGAAGTAGGCTGGCCTGTGGATTTACCTTGGAAAACTAATCTGATGGTGCAAGTGGGAGCGGAGAATGAGAGCATTGGGCCCTTTGCAGTCTGACCCCTCTCATCTGGGTTTGGAGAATTTGGGGTCAGAAATGGGGGGCTCACGGACACAGGCCTAGGTTGAGACAGGGCAGGCAAAGCACCTGACTAGATGGAGGGCAGGTGGCTCCTGGATAGAGGCCTGGTTCCCCGGCCCTGGGAAGTGCTGGGGGAGGTCGAAGCCTGAAACCAGCCAGGGAGGAAGCGCGTGACCTGGCTGACAGTGGACTAAGGACAGCACCAGACTGGGAGAAGTGGGAGCAAATTCCCTCTGTATCACAGCTGCCAGTGTGAGACCGGGCCCTGCAGGTCAGGAAGGCTGAGCATGGGGCCCTGGCAGAGGACACCTTATCTAAAAATGCCCCCTGGCCCTGGAGGCCTCAGCCAGGGAGGGAACTGCCATGCCACCTTACAAGGCAGGAAAGGAAGTAAGAAAAAGAGAAGTGTTTTACTACTGGGACAAAACACCCAGTCTTATATGGCTTCAGCTTTGACCAGAGGTTGGTGGGGAGCTCTTCTGGGGCTGAGAGGGGGGCATTGACTGTGCCTGGGTGGGCAGAGCCCTGAGCCCTGCACAGCGGGCTCTGCCAGTGAGTGGGTGGCAGAGAAAAGTCAACAGGATGCTCCCCTATTCCAACTTTCTATAATCCATCCTCAGTGGGTGGAGGTTGGTGGGAGAGAGACTGACTGGGCCAAAAACCCTTTTCCTTCTTCCTTCGTCAATAGAAGTAGATGACAGCCTCTAGAAGAATCAGGGCCCTGAGGGTTACCTGGCCCAGGGCTACTGCAACAGGCACAGAACCATCTGGGCCATAGGCCTTTCCTCCATGGCTCCACTCAAGGCGGGCACAGAGCCTCCGCCTTTCTCCTTTCCTCCATCCCAGACTGGGGACCAAGGACTTCAAGCTCTGGCTAAGATGTAGCATCAGGAGACACCAGACATCCACAACTGGGAAGCCAGGGGCCTGTGTCACCTGTGTGGGGTAAACACAAATGCATGCACACAAGCTCTCCTGAATCAATCATTGCTCTGTGGGTCTCAGCCCTGCTGGGGCTCACCAGGTTGAAGCCTAGGTGGTCTGACCACCATTCAGGGTGGTTCTTTCACCATTTGGGGAGAAGACCAGAATGGTATCTATCTTTTATGGACCCAGAAACACTGCTAACAGTGCATAGGTGTATTAAGACTGCATGCCCCTGGGTCCAGAAGAATGGAACAGGCAATAATTTGAAAAAAGGGTGTTTTTTTATCCCTTTTTTGTGTGACTTCTATCAAAACACAGAAATACAGCACACACACAAACCAGCACAAAAGCGCAGCTCTCTATTTACAGCTACAGCTGGCACCTGCCCACCTGGCCAGCCATCTGCAGGGAAGGGTAGGAGAGGGGGTCAGCTACATCAACAGGAAGAAAAGAACAGGAGAACCAGGTGGGAGTAGAAAAACCATGAGGAGAAAAGGGAAGCTGGAGCACTGAAGAGATAGCAGCAAAGGAAAGGGATAAAGAATGGAGATTTCACTTCCCCTTCCTCTCTCCCAAATGATTCCATACACAGCAGACTGAGGGGGAGCACTGAGACATAGGGAAGAGGTTCCATGGGTCTTGGGAGTAAGGGAGGGGCATTCTGATGGCCAAAATGGAATAAACCCCTACCCAAAGCCCCCCACCCCACTCTGCCATTCCCACTAAGCTGCCAGCACATCTGGTTGCCACAAATGCCATTCCCCACATAAGCCCCCCCCTCCCACCCCTTCTAACCCGCCCCTTGACCCCAGGTCATCCCAACACTGGAGAGGAAGAAAATATTTTCAGGTTATCATATTTGCAATATTGCCCCACATCCAGACCCAATAATGGAGTGCTAGAAAGGCAGGTTGGCCATGCTGCCTGGTGCAGGGAGGTAGCCCATCTGGCTGTCCAGAGACACACTGCGCTGCCGCAAGGGGTGGGACACCATGAGGTTCTGCTGCGGCGGAGGGCCCATGAGGGAGCCCTGTGGGGAGAGCATGTGTGGGGGCTGACTGTAGACCTCAGCGCCCATGCCCCGCTGCTTCATCAGCATGAAATTCTGCTGGGTCATGAGGCCTTGCGGAGGAGACATGACCCCCTGGTGCAGACCGTGAGGCACCATGCCTTGCTGTGGGGGCACACCTGTCCTGCCCAGCAAGGACATCTGTCCAGGGTGGCACATTGACACGTTGAGCCCCCGCTGGACACCCTGCTGGCCTGGGAGGCTGGGGGCCCGTGAGGGATTTTGCTCGGTCATCATGTTCTGCAAGTTCATGAGATGGAGGTTGGGGGGCTGGGCCTTGGGGGGCTGGTTCTCGCTCTTGGGGAAGTACTGAAGGGTGCTGCTCGGCTTCTCAGAGGGGATGATCCTTGACAAGTCGAATTCAGGGATTCCTGTTGGGGTGGGCCGGATCACCTCGCTCAGCTCAGGGTCATTCAGCACTGATGCCACCCCAGGGAGCACACCGGGTGGGTATGCTTCACCCATGCGCCCAGCCATGCCTTTGCCCATTAGGTGCTGCTGAGGGGGCATGGGGCCAGGTGGTTGGTTGGACAGGTCTTCAGGGGGCAGGGGCATGCCTGAAGGGTAGTGCTGCTGCAGGCCAGTCCCCCCACCTCCCCCCCCGCCAGGAGCCATGGCACCATGGGGCTGCTGCAGCCGAGGTGGGAAGGACATCATCTGGGAGGAGCTAGGCACAGGGCCACAGGAGGCATTCAAGGAGTCTGGGCCCCCTGGAGCCATCATCATTGAATTTTGTGGTGGTCCCCCAGTCCCCTGAGCATTGGGGTGCAGTGGAATGTTGGAACCCAGAGGGGTGGGGGAAGGCAACATGGTAGGTGGGGGCTCATGGGACAGGGGCTGCTGGCCTGGCAGGTTCATGCCCATGGGGCTTTGGGCAGCAGCTGAGTTCAGGTGCATCTGGTTGGACTGGTTATTGCTGATCCCTGTGGGGAAAGAAAAAAGGGGGTAAGGAACTATATGCACCCAGCCAGTGCCAGGGATGAGGACTTTCACCATTGGCCTGCCCTGGGTGCAAGGAAAGGGACTTCAGGCATTTAGGTTAGAAGCCAAGAGATCCAGGTTCTGGCCCAGTTTGCCATGTACACTGCAAGGATGCTACAAAGGCTGCTCAAGTGCCCTGGGCTTGGTTCCACTAAATGACTATGCAAGTGAGAACTGTGTCCCAGGACATCACACCCCCACTCCCAGGGCACTCCAGAAGCACATAAAAGGCAGCATGACCACAGGGCTGACTGCTGGCCATGCCCATTTACCCCACCCTCAGTGCCCATATCAACTCCTCTCCCTGTGGCCACCTTTCGGTCCTCGCACCTGACCCGGAGCCCTGCGGTGGTGGCGGTGGGGGTAGCAGGGGCCGATCAGGCAGCAGCTCATCATCTGAGGTGGCAATGGTCTTGATGGCATTGTGGTAGAGAGGGGTAGAGCTGGGCATGGCATACTTGGACATCTGGGACATCATCAATGACAGAGGGTTCTGGGAAGGTGTGGGATCTGGGGAGGAAGTAAATGGTAGGCTGGGGTTCACGAGGCCACTGGGAGGGTTGGCAGGAGGTGCTGAGGAGCTGCTCCGGGGACCACTAGGCGGGAGGGCACCTACAGAAGCAGGAAGACAAAAAATGCAGGGGATGACTGGCCAGGGAAAATGAATCTGGCAGTTTGGGAGACGTCAGCTCCCAAATCTCCCCGATTCCTCCAGGCATACCTTGATTCAGACATCCCACTGAACACAGAGCCCTGCATGCTTATCACTATAGTCCTCCGGCCCTGCCCTTCTCCAGTTTCTGCAGCCACAGGATCCCAAGCAATGAAATCCCAAATGTGAGCCAGGGAAAATTCCTGGGAGATTAACATGTGCTAAGCCCACACCCAAATACCAACATCTGCCCCTCAAGCAGAGCCATGCACCTGGAGACTCCCAGTGCCACAGTTCAATGCTCATTTGCTCAGCTGAGCTGACTCACCCTGTTCCATGTTGCCCAGAGTGGTGGAAGAGTTCATGCTGAGAGGCGGCTGCTTGTTCTGAGGAACCCCAGGGCTGGGCATGGCTGTCTTGGGTGAGGCAACCCAGCCTGGAGAAGGCACCGCCATGGAGGGAGACTTGAGCCTGCTGGGAGAGCCAGTGGGCGAACGGACACTGAGAGAGGAGCTGAGGACCTGGGGTGACTTGAGAGGTCCTGGTGGATTGGCAGAAGGCAAGGGCACCATCTGTGAGGGAGTCTGGGGTGACTTCAGGTTGGCAGTGGGCGAGGTGACCAGGGGTGAGTGCACCTGGCTAAGTGTGGGCGACTTCAGGTGCCCCATGCCTGGCGAGCCCATTTGATTAATACTGATGGTGAGGTCCGAAGGCCGTCTACCCAGCCCCCGATTTGGAGCTGAATGCACAGGCCCTGAAGGATTGGACACAGCAGGCAGAGGCATGTGGCTAAGCCGAGTGGTCCCCACATTGCCCATGGGCATTGAGTTCTGGTCAGGGCTGAACATATCTTGGGTATTGCCCATGTCCTGTGGCAGGGCTTGGTAGGGTCCTTGGCCCCCGGAGAACCCCTGCTGGCCCTGGTTGGGAAACTGTGAGGGCATCAGCATCTTCTGTGGGCCGCCTACCATGCCACTGCTGTTCTGAGCCCGCACTCGGGCCATGTCCTCAGGACTGAGGCCCTGTGGCCCCATCATGTCCCCAGGACCTCTCATCTTCTGTGACATCAGCATCTGCTGCTGTGGGGTCATCTGTACATTCAAGTTCATATTCATGTTCATGTTCACATTCATGTTCATGTTGAGGTTGCCTGGCCCCAAGGGTGGGTCCACCTCCCTCAGCCCAGACTGGCCCATGGTGGGGCTCAGAAGGCCACGGCCTCCACCAAACTCCATGCCTATGGGAGTGCCTGCCAGTCCCTCACCACCAGCCATCTGCCCAGGGAACATGGCTGGATCCATCTGCCTGTGCACCTGCATCATCCGTTCCATCTCCACTCCCTGCCCCATGCCACCACCACTGGCCATGCCCACAGGGCGCTGCATGCCCAGTGACCGCTTCTCCAGCAGCTGGTGCCGCAGCAGCTCCTCACGAACCCGAGGGGTCATGAATCGTTCTGCTTCACTCTGCCCACCTGGGTAGGACACAGGGTTCTGGGTAAAATTGCTGGGCGCCCCCATTGGGGGTAAGTCTTCAGTCCAGCCCATACCTGGCCTCACAGGCCTCTGCATAGCATTTATAGGCACCTCCATGGGCATACCCTGCATGCCCCCAAACCCAGGCACCCGTTGTATCTGGTTGCCTGGGAAACGGGGGCCAGGGAAGGGTGGTCCGCCCCGGAGCTGCATGGGATCTTGGACATCCATGGGCCCCCGCAGCTGTGTGCCCATTCCAGGTGGCCACTGATCCCCAGGCTTGCTGTGGTAGGGAGGCGGTGGCCCCCTCACCATCATGGCCCCCATGCCCATCATGTCTTGCAGAGGCCGGCCCCCATGCAGCCCAATCTGCTCCTCCTTCCGCCGCTTCTCCTCATAGTACTCTTCCTGCAGCTTGCGCCAGGCCACCTGCTCTGGTGTCAGGCTGTCCTGGCCCAGCCTCTGCATCATCATGTTCATCTGCTGCCCCATATCCCCGCCCGGGGGATGCCCAGGCACTTCATGCTCCAACGGGGGGCCCCCTAGGCTCTGTGTCTGAGAAATCATGGACTGCAAGGGCTCCTCATACTTCTTCAGCCCACTGGGAGGGGCCGTGGGTGGCTGCTGGGGGGCAAGAGGGGCTTGTGCTGGTGGTCCCCCCTCACCTGCTCCTCCCGGGGGCCCCTTGAGGAAAGGCTCAGTCTCCCCGCTGCGGAGCAACAGCCGCTCAATATCTCGAAGTGTCTGGAGGGAACGCTCCCGATGCTCCAGCTGCTCCTTGGACAGGCCCTCTGAGCCCACCAGGCTCCGCTGCCCATTTCCTGTGGGGGCAGCCTCCCCTAGCAGGGCAGGACCAGGGGCACTGTTGGGGTCTCCTCCAGGAGGCAGAGGATTGTTGTTGGTAGAAGTTGTAGGGGTATTAGGGTGGGTACCCCCAGTCCCACCGCCCGTGCTGGCAGCTCCCACTGAGTTGGGTGTCAGGTCCTGATTGGTGTCCTCAGGAGGTCCCTCAGAAGGCAGAGCAGGGGGGGCACTGCCAGGGGCTGGAGGTGGTGGTGGTGGCAGTGGAAGTGCCTGGGACTGTGGTGTGCCTGCTGATGATGTGCTCAAGGGTAGAGGTTCTGGGGTGGGCAGCACTTTGGAGGCCTGCAAGAGGACAGAGGCAGAGCATGAGGCAGTAAGGGGATGCACCAGCCAATCTGGTTATTAATAGAAGCACCGTGCCTGGACCAGGCACCATACTCACCTGGTCAAGCTTGGCCCGGGGCACATTCTGCTGGTGGTAGGCAAGGATGGAGTCAGCCCGGCCCTGCAGTACTGCCTCCGCAGCCCTGCACAGGAGCCAGACACAAATAGCTCAGATAGGCAGGAAGGAGCCCTCGCCTTCACCCAATCCAGCCCAACCCAAACCAAACCAACCCAACCCAACCCTGGCCCCCTATGGGTGCTCACTCAGGACCCCAGGCTCAGGGATGCTAGATAAAGACAGCAAGTTTGGCCCTGGCTGTTGCGGCTCAGTGGATTGAGTGACAGCCTGCAGACCAAGGGGTGGGCAGTTTGATTCCTGGTTGGGGCACATGCCTGGGTTGCAGGCTGGGTCCCCAGTAGGGGGCATACAAGAGGCAACCACACATTGATGTTTCTCTCCCTCTCTTTCTTCTTCCCTTCCCCTCTCTAAAAATAAATAAATAGATAACATCTTTAAAAAAAAGCAAGCTTGGCTCACCCCAAGGCACTTACGTGTTGGCCAGGTGAGTGGTGAAGACATACACGAACTGTGAGGGAGGCTTTCCAGGGACACCTCCACCCCCGGGGGCATCAGGCCGAAGGCCTGGGGGAGGCCCATGTGGGGGCCCTGGTGCACTGCTCTCACTGAGGGGAAGTTGGGTGGCTTGTGCAGGACCCAGCTGTGGGGCCGCCATGGCTGGGTCTGCTACATTACAATCTGCATGAAAGGGAAGGAAAGAGGGTAAGCAGCCCAGATTTTAAAAAGGAGAACCAGCTGGCACCCCCATTACCCCATCCCAGAGGTGCCCAAGGACAGAGGCTCACTGCTTTACAGCTGGTGCCCACAGGGTCATTTGCTATCACAATCTGATGTTTTCACTAGCGTGGTTTCCACTCTTACTTACACTAGGCCAGTCTTTGACCAGGATGGAAATTGTGGCAACCATGTGGAGTGAAAGGAGAGAGAAAGTGTGACCCTTATGAACAGGTTCCCATGTGACTGGCTATGCAATGGATACTTATGAATGTAATTCCCTGAAGAGTCTGCAAAGCCTGCTCTTAGACCTGCTCTGCCTCCTCATGCTGCAGTCTGCCAAGTGTGCATGCACACTGACCAGGTGAGGGGAGAAGGAAAAGAGATTGCACAAATTAATAATTCAAATGATTAATGGTTTTCATGCTAGCCCACCACTAACTGACTCTGTAACCTTATGAACAAGGTACTTTATTCCTCTAAGCCTCGATTCCTTTATCTATAAAATGGAAACACTAACTCCTGCCCTGCCTAGGAGGCAGGTCAAAGGAATCTACTTTTCTAACAAGTTCAGAAGTCAAGTCACAAACTAAAAAAAATTATTGGGAAAACAGAGAGAGTTTGTTCCACAGTCACAAACTTGACTCTAAGTCTAAGCCTAGAAAAAAATCTACAATTGGTCATTAATGGGTCTAGGTGAGTGGACGGACCCATTCCCATGACAGGATGAAGACGGCAAAATGTCTGGCCTGCAAATGGGAAGGGACAGCACTCTCAATTCATACAAGGCAAAATGCCTGAAGTTGCCTCCTTGAGCCAGAACAGCAGCCACCTTCCCACATGCCCAATGTTGAGTTCCTGTCTTTGAATAAACCTTATCTGATAGTCCTAACTCATAGGGGCACTGCTCTGGACCCTGTCTCTCCAACTTTATATAGAAGAACAGAGCCGAAAGTTTGGGGTTGGAGGAATTTGAGAGCCAACCTCAACATGTGAAGGCTACCCTGGGGAAGAAGGTACATATTCAGTACACAGAACTAGGACTCCTGGGTACAAGTTATGGGAAGGGAGGCAGGCTTTATCTCAATAGGAATGTTCTAGTACAATAATAGCAATAATAAAAAGGAATACTGTTCTAAGTGTGTTACATGTATCAGCTCATTTACTCCTCATACAAACCCTATGAGGTAAATATTTTTATAGGTGAAGAAACTGAGGCCCATTCCCCAATTTACACAAATAATTAGTGGAAACCAAGGATATAAATCAAGGTGGTCTGATTAAAGAGTCTGTGCTATTAACATTATACTGTGCCACCTTTAAGAACTCTTTGAGCCCTGGCTGGTGTGGCTCAGTGGATGGAGCAAGTCACTGGTCCCCTGTTGGGTACGTTTGAGAGGCAACCAACTGAGATGTTTCTTTCGCACATCAATGTTTCTTCTCTCCCTCTCTTTCTCCTTCTCTTCCCTACCCTCTAAAAATAAATAAGTAAAATCTTTATTAAAAAAATTTTTAGGGCCCTGGCTGGTGTAGCTCAGTGGATTGAGCACAGGCCTACGAACCAGAGTATCGCGGTTCAATCCCCAGTCAGGGCACATGCCTGGGTTGCAGGCCAGTTCCCAGCAGGGGACAAATGAGAGGCAACCATACATTGATATTTCTCTCCCACTCTTTCTCCTTCCCTTCCCCTCTCTCAAAAAATAAATAAATAAAATATAAAAAAAAATTTTAAAGAACTCTTTAAGACTAATAGCAGTAAAACTAAAATAGTAATAGTGGTTGCCTTGGTATTGAGTATGAGATGTTAGCAATACCTTCTTTGTACTTCCCTGTGTCTTCAATGTTTCTGCAATGGTGCAGTTTAATATCAGAAAAACAAAGGCGGAGGGGGGTGTCTTTGGAGGCAGTGACTATCCCCATCTATCAGTAAGGGTTTTCAGCCAGGGGCTCACGAACTGCCAGTCAGTCCCTTTGGAGAGACCTGGGACCAAATGATCTTTAAAATCCCAGCCAGCTGCAGAAACTTCATTCAATATTTGATCTATGAACTAAATCCACACAGTCTACTCATTCCACAAACATCTGCTGAGTGTGTTTCCTCCTCTGTAATAGGCATAATAACACCAACCTCACAGAGCTGTTTCTAAGGACTGATTATCTACTATGGAGTAGCAAGGTAGCAAACTGTTTTTCCCTTCCTTAAGTCCCTGACTTCAACAAGCTCACAATTTAACTTTCTCTGGCTAGTTTCTTATGCATTAACCTATTTCACCCTACCCCCCAAAACAGATGTAAGCCTTGAGGGAAAGCACCAGATAAATTTGTATGGGTGTCCCAAGGACAGGGTTATGTCTGGTTCTCCCCTCTGCACTTGTGCAAGATCCAAATACATGCTGACCACTGAGAAAATGAGAGGAATGGGCACCCTCCCACACCTACAGTGTTGTCCTGGCACTGCTCTCTGGGCACCTGCCAGGAGTCAATTAGAGGTTAGGAAAGAGACACAGCCAGTGTCAGCTCTCACACCCAGGCTTAGCAAAGCTTTGCACAACAGAGCCAATAGTCTCACTACAAAGTGATGCTAAACTCTTGCAGCACTCCTTCCATTCACCAGTAGGTGGCAGCATACGCCACAAATACATGGAAGGAGGTAAAAAAGTGGCAAAACCACCTGAGGTTCATCCCACCCCCCCTTAGGTTCTTAGGAAGAGGGGGCCACTGAGCACCTGGAAAGCAGGCACAGAACTGTCACAGTGCAGGGAACAACAGAGTCTGAAGGGTGGGATTAGACAGAAGTATAGGCTCCAGACCCTTGCTCCAAAGCCCTATGTCGGGGGTGTCAAACTCATTTTCACCTGGGGCTATATCAGCAGTGCCTTCAAAGGGCCAAATTTAACTTTAGGACTATATAAATGTAACCACTCCTTAAATAGGGTCAAGTAACTCCTTTCTGCCACTGGGTAGAAACAAGATGCCAGGCCAGATAAAACAAGGTGGTGGGCTAGATTCGGCTTGCAGGCCTTGTGTTTGCCACCTGTGGCCTAGGTGAAGAGAGGAAGGCTCCCTTAGGGCAGTCATCCCCAAGGGGCACCCCAGGCCACAGTACCATGGCATGATGGGCACTCACTGTGGGTGGCCCCTATGGGCTTGTCATCTTCCTCACTGTCTGGTCCGGAGCACCATTCATCCCCGCTGTATGGCTGCTTCCGCTCCAGCACACAACGCCGCTTGCTCCGGGGTGCCACCTCTGCCCAGGCAGGACAGAGACAGGCAGGGGTCATAGTGAGTACCCACAGGCCCTGACCTGTCACACCCAGACCTATTCTCCCAGATATCCCAGGGCAATGCCCAGGCTATAGTGGGTATTTATCCATCTCTTGGCCCCCACCACACCACCATTTGTTTCTGATTTCTCTTTACAGCCCTGCTGCCTGCCTCCCCTCCTCCCCCACCTAGTACAAAGCACAACTGGTTCTAATTAGGGCTGGGGGAGGGAAGGAAGAAGCCGTGGCTACTCTTCCAGGCCAGTGGCTGTTCAGCAGCTCCCACCAACCCAGATACCAAGAAGTTCTTGGGATGTGTAGGTCTGCTTCTCGCCCCAGACCACCTCCCTCTTCCCCTATGAGGGTTCTGGTGGGAAAGCAAGAGAGGAAGGAAGGAGACTGACCAGAAACCCCATCACTCTGTGTGGCCCCATCATGGGTGGCACCTAAGGGAAGCAGGGGATGAGGATTAGGCAAGGGGGATAGATAGTAAGATGGTCTCCCAGCAAGTCTAGGCCTTGAACTGTGGGACATGCTGGACTCTTGGGGATCAGGAAATGGGGTACCTTTGGCTTCTGAATCCAGGGATGGAGTTCCAGTCTCTCGCTGCTCTCCAGAGTCCACAGACACACTCCGCTCCCTCTTCACTTTGCCCTTGAGCGAGCTGAAAGGGGGCACCCCTGCCTGGGTATTCTTCAGACTTGAGTTGCCAGGTGAAATCTGGTTGGCCTTGGCCCCATGGTTTCCCACCCCCACACCCTTTGAGCCCAGGTTGCAGGTGGGTCCTTGATTCACATTCTGGTGCTGGGATTGGGCCGCACCATTCCCTGTCTTGCCATGATTGGTCAACTTATTTTCTGGGTGCATTGGCTTGGATGGGGCAGGGGGGCAGTGGCCACGGGGGGACAATGGCGGACTCCCTGGAGCTTCTCTCCTCCTGGGATGGGGTAACCTGGGAGAAGTTAAGAGAGACATGAAAAGTTAATCTTGAAAGGGGCTTAGCATGCCTGGATTTTAATTGCCCCATCTTGCCTCACCTAATGGTAGGTCTGAGTGGCATCTTAAGACTTAACCTCTGAAAGTAAGTCTTAAGGAGGTAGGGAATAAGACTTACCAGATTATTCCCTACCTCCTTCCATTGCTCCTCAGACAAGGATTGATGCCATTCACCTTGGAGGATGAAGATGGGGCAACCCCCTCCACCCTCAAGCCCCCACAATTCAAATGAAAACCAGAGCCTTTCCTTAGCAGAATCTGCCTACACCCCTGGCATCCGTCAGGCTGCGAGGCTCTATGGCACCACTACCCCACACACCTAGCACCTGACCAACAGTCAAGCACCCTCTCTTCTAGGGTTTGGTATCTTCAGATTCCTTCCAAGGTCCCAAACCTCAACTTCCATGTGTCCCAACACTAGCAGAAAGGGGCACAGGACCTGAGGGTCACTGTTTATGCCTCAGTCCCATTCCCCTGGGGAAGTGGAGAAAAGCACAACAGAGTGGTACCCACTGGTCCAGCTTCCCAGAGCAGGAAGGGGAAAGCCCAAAGACAGTCGGCAGGCAGGCCTGGCAGGCAGGAACAGGAAGAAAGGGGAAGGGGAGTGGTGTGTGGGGCAGGCTGGAGTGCAGCTTAAAGCCAAGGATTCCAGCAGCCTAAGCTGTGGTCCCTTTAAGATCCGGCTGGCTCCCCCCACCACCTCCCCTTCCCAGGAGACCTATTAATAGCTGCTGGAAAGATCACATCACTGGGAGAGGATATTTATCCCCCTTCATTCCACACCAGCTCAGATTTATTTCAGCTCTGCTGTCCTGCTGCTGCCGCCTGCCCCTGTCTGTAGGCTTCTCCTGGGGAAGGGGAAGAAAGCAGGCGCTGCCCCTATCTCCCAGCCAGACTGAGGCCAGAGGGTGCCATTGGACCCAACATTGGGGTGGGGGGTGGGGTTCTACTCAAACTGTTTTTAAGAGGAACAGGTTGGACCAAACAGCAGACATAGCTGGTTGCCATTACCCTCTGTCCCCTGGGCCCAAGTACTAAAGCTGTAGGCTCCTGCCTCAGGGCAGGCCTTCCCATCCTGACCTCCCATATGCCTGGAAGCTAGGTGCCCAGGGAGGCTTATTCTCTAAGCCAGCACAGCTCAGCCCGGGCACTTCTTGGCCCTTCCCTTCCCCACACTCCACGCACACATCCCGCCCTCCATGACACCCACACACCTTGTCTTGTTAGCCAGGATCCTCATGGCTCCCACACACAGTGGGGCTACGGCCCCTGTGCGTGCCCAGGGCCCAGCCAGGTACTCGGTACTGGAGCAGGGACTGCAGCAACAAGCCCCAAAGAGAAAACTTGTGACTTGGGGAGGGGGTGTAAGAAGGGGAGGGGATGAGGGAGGACCCAACAGCCCTGAGACTAAAGAACTGGATAGGTTAGGGTTGGGAAGGAAAGAAATGACTACTAGGTGGGGTCTCAACCTAAAGGCCAGTCCTATCCCATCCCTCCCACACTTTACCCACAGGGAGCTTGCAGTCTCTAGCAAGGCCCCCGTGTGCAGAAGCAGAATCCACTAACAAGATAGGTTGCAACAGTACCCACGTGTGGTGGCCCTGAGGTTTTTTTCTGATACCCTGGGGACTCTCTCTCTCTCTCTCTCTCTCTCTCTCTCAGGGCATGCCCCTCACCCTGGCTGGGGAACCCCTCAGGGCCTCCATCCAACACCAGCACAGTGCCCTGCCTCGGGGATGGGGGCTGAGCTCCGCCCCCAGCTCAGGGCCTAGCCCATGCCCATTCCAGCAGGCCCAGGCGGGCAGCAGCAAGAGGCCTGGCGGGGCCCCGGGGCTGCAGCTGGGCTCTTCTGGAGACCAGTAACGCTGGCTCAGATTCCTCCCCAACCGCAAGAATGCAGGAGCCTCCCCTCCCCCCCCCACCCCCGCGCCCATGCACCCCCACCCCACCCCCTTCTGCAGAGCTGGAGCAGAAAGGCAGAGAAAGTGAGAGAGCCAGAGAGCCCACAGGCGATGGAGCAGGAGGCATACAGAACTGCAGCGCCCCTGGGGCCCCTCACAAAACGCAGGGGTAGAAGACACAGCCCAGGGCCACGAAGGCCAGTGCACTGCAGCAGGGCCCAAGTTCGGCTTGGTGCGCGCGGCACCTCCAGGCACGGGCTCCGAGAGCCACCAGCACCCGAACTCTGACTCACACACACTCACTGCTCACACGTGGACTGGGAGACAAAGACACGCACAGAGCCCAGGAAGCTACAGGCGCGCCCACGCCGACCCCGTCACAGAGAGGTGTGCAGGAGAACGAGGGAGACGCTGGCCCAAGGAAAATTGGGCCTGGTAGTCACAAAGAAAAATACACACAGGGCCATAGATACATCACCAACAAACAGACTTACACAAACAGAACCCTCACCCTACTGCCCCTGCCCTGCCCTGCCCCCCACCCCAGCCAATTCTGGCACAGGCTGGGGAGGGGAAGGGGAGAAGCCTTGGGCCTCAAGCTTATACAGGTGAGGACAGGTCCTGCCTGACACCCGCTGCAAAGTCAGCTGCTCCCTGCCCAGCTGCGGGAGACTGGGCTGGAACCTTGGGATGAGGGGGCCAACTTGTGGTCCCCTGAGAGTCTAACCCTAACTTAACCCCAGGGCACATGGGCACTTTGGGTTCCAGATCTGTCTCTGGGAAGGGAGGTGCCTCAGGGGAAGGTTTCAAAGTCCAGGACCTGGCTGGGAAGCAGCCTCCTGCCAGGCCCCCATCTCCTTCATCACCTCAGGTTAGAACACCTGCAGGAAAGGGATGGAGTCTGCACTGGGCTAAGGAGCAGGCCTGTGGCTGACAAGGGTCTCAGGCTTCCCACCCTCACCGATCCTCACTACTTACCACCCAGCGGGAGGTAGGTAGTTTTATTATGCCCATTTCACCACAAGGAAACTGAGGTCTAGGAAAAGGAAATGACCAATAGGTGGCAGCACTAAGACCCCATTTCCATGGTGTTTCCCTGACACTGCAGTGCCCCCACTGTGTGTCATGTCTGCTCATCTGAGCCTGCATCAGATAGGTGGGCTTCTCACATGCCAGCCACTGGGCCCAGCCCTGTTGGGGGCAGAGGGTGGGGAGCCATCAGGGCAAGAGCCACCACTAACTCCTATGTTTACAGCATTAAATATTGGGACCTGTAATAATTGGGAAGGGGCTGTTAGAAAATTAGTCTTCTCCAGTGTCCCAAGTAGGCCAAAGCTCTTCCCCAGAAAAATCCCAGGGTCACCCTCTCCTCTAGAACACCACCTTCTAGCTCCCACCTAGCCACGGGGCTAGCAGAGTCAAGAAGAGATGAATGAAGACTTTCCCATCTTACAACCTTCCCTGACCTGTATCCCTGGAGAGTGCCCCAGAGACTCCTCCGCCTTACACACAGTCCCAGAAGAAACCTAGAATGCCTCAAGGATAATAGGCAGGAGGGCTGGTTCCTGGTGAGTGCAGTTCTAAAATAAACAATGAGTGAAGGGGGCTTCCCAGCCCCAAGCCAGGAGCCCCTGAGCTGGGTAAAAGGGAAAGGGACTGGACTCTGAGAACACACTGCTGTGTCTCCGTCTTAGGGCCTAGGGTGGGGAGTAGAGACAGTGCTCACCAACAGGGAGCTGGTGCCAATCTCCTAAGTGAAAAGCCAGGAAAATACCCATTAGAATGGAGCCCAGGAGCTGGATAAGACAAAGAGTTTGAGATATTTTGCCCTCCTTGTATAACATGGGATGGTAGCAGGCAGGAGCAGGGCCTGACCCAGGCTGGAGGTGGGAGACCAGGAAAGCTTCCAGGCACCCAGAGCCTCTAGCTCCTTGAACTGCCACAGGCCCAGGGGCCAGAGGGCAATCACACACCAGTGGCAACCTGCCTATTTTCAGCTGCCCCCACCTTGGGAACCTCTATTTGGTTCTCTAGCTGGCCCACAATTCTCATTGCCTAGCTCAAAAAGACAGTAAGAAAACTGCATGGAGGGTCTATGCTTCCCCATTCAGTAGGTAGATAACTTTAGAGGGGAAATAGATTGCTAGAACCCCTATGGTGGCTGAAAGAATGGAGCCCTGCTGGGAGCAACAGCGATGGGATCCCTGGTCTCTGACTCAAGGAGATGCAGCCCCAAGACAACAAAGTCCTAAGTCCCCTTTCTCTGGGGCATCAGGACTCCCTTGGTCCCTAGAAGTCCTCTACCACCCAAGTCACTTCCTCTTCCTGAGGTGGTGACTCAGCTGGGTGGAGAGGTCAAGGATTCATAGCCCAGCAGGAAATTTGCCCAAGAACCAAGGTGTTGCTCTGGAACCCTCTGTATGGGAACTTCCAGGGTCGGGGAGTCAGGGGCTTCCCCTTGTCTGGGTTCCTAGCAGTTCTGCACACTTCCCCCACCTCCTGCCAAAATAGACCATGCAGATGAACCATTTTCGTCTGGGACTTTCCATCCTGACCCCACTTGCAGCTCCAGGGTAATGTCAGGCAACCCTAGCCCTACAGGGACATAGAAACTCCTTTTCCCACACCTTTCCAGCCTGGGGTCTTTGAACAGGGTGTTTCTACAGGGGATTCTGCCCATTGTGCCTTCCTGCACCTTCTGGAGGCTGCGGAGACAAGTAGCATTGCCTAGAGAAGCCTGAGGTCACCTCACTTGGCTCCTTCGACCAGTGCCAGTGTGGCCAGACCTGGGGAAAGATGTGCCCAGGCAGTGAGGTACCCCCAAAGTCTGCTGCCCAATCCATGACTGCTGGCTTCTCCAGCAGGGAGAGGCAGAAGGGGGTGCGCAGTGAACCAAGACAGGGCAGGAAGCCCAGGCAGGCAGCGGGCACTCTAGGCCAGGCACAAACAGCCGGCACAGGAAACCACAGCCCACCCCCACCCACCCCACCCTCCCAAAGCTCTGGGAGAGAGGAGTACCAAAAGCCTGGTACCCCAACAGGGACAAGGGCAAGGGGTTAGCCCAGGGCAAGGGAAGAGCAAGAAGCAATTCAGTCCCCTCTCTGCCCAACCCTACCTGGGGAGGGGGAGAGGAAGCCAAGCTGGCAAGGATGGTACTGCCTCTTTAAATCCACCGAAATCCTGAGCTAGGCCCAACCCAGCTCTGGTTTCACAGGAAGGAAAGCAGCTTAGGAGACAGTAGAGCAGGCAAGGGTGGCTGGAATTAGCCCCATCAGCCCAAATATATCTGGTCTCTGCCTGCCACCCCACTGGCATTTCCTGCCCCCTGGCACATGCACCATAGTGAAATTGGGAGAGGGCCTAGGTGCTACTCCCTACCCTGTGGGAGATCCCAATCTCTGGAGGAGCCCTGTTGGTGGGTACAGGAAGGCAGAGTGTGACTCCCCAAGCGTGTATTCGGAGAAGAATGAACACGGAAGCAACCCGTGGGCCCTCACCTAGTCTCTGTCTTCCAAAGGGTTAATCTGGCCCCTGTTTAGGGGGTGGGGGTTAGGGGTGGCCTAGGCACCACCTCCTTCAAACTGCCTGGCAGCTGGGAACAATGAGGCCATTGTGGGAGGAGTGGAGTGTAGGCAGACTGCTGGCACGGCCAACCTATACCACAGACAGGACCTCACCCAAGACTGCCTGCAGCTACTTTGCTCTCTCCCCCAGGTACTAACAGTGGCAGAGACATCCTCCCAGCCCCCTCACCTTGCCTGTCTAGTCCAAACTCTTGGCACCAGCAGCACCTGGAGGGCTCTCAAGCTCTATCTACGTTGACATCCAGACTGCTATGACCCTACAGGAAGCAGGGGCATGTGGGCCAGGACAGGGTCGGGGTGGGGGCTGACAAGACAGGATGTATGCCTTCGATCCTCCTGCAGCGAAGACAGGAAGGCCAAACAGGGTTGCTGGTGTCAGTCCTGGCACTGTCAGGCAAAAAGGGCTTAGGCCCTAATCCTTAGGGAATTGTGAGAGCAGTGACAGGCAGGGTCCCCTGCTCCCAGGCCTCATTTCCCACACTCATTCCATAAACCTGCTTCCTGAGGAGGTCCAGTGCCAGGTGTCCAGGGGTTGGAACACTGGTGGGCAGCGTGAGTAATTCAGTGGAATGAGAACAGGGCTTCCAATCAGGCAGACAGGGGGCCTGTTGCATCCCTCCCCTTCTGAGCTACAGCACTGTCTTCACCACCTCGGTCCTTTGAGTCCCAATTTCCTCTTCTGCAAAATGAGGATAAATTCATAAAGTAAATACTATTAGTAAGACTATCTAACAGAATGCCTATGACACACACATTCTGCCCTTCAACAAACCACCTCTGGCCATGATGTCCCCTTGTTTACTCATTCAATGGAATCCAAATATGTGGGCATTTGGTAAAGGTGGACACTGTCCAGACATTTGTTTCTTGAAGTATCCAAAAGTTCATGTGCATCATATCTGTGGTATGGAGTACAAAGACTTGCCTTCTCCTCTACACTTCTCACAAAGACCAGTTCCCTTGGCTAGCACTCCCCTGGCCATCCCTGGGTTTACTGACAAACACTCAGACCCAGAATGTGAACATGGAGAGCAGTTGTCCACTCTTTTAGCTTCAGGTCTGTGTCTCAAAACCCCAGGAGGCAAGCAAAGGGCAGGGGGGTTACCTTCAAAAGTGTCTGTATCCCCTACACCAGGCACCCCTCTCCCTGCCTGATTCCTTGGCAGTCTCTGCAGAGTTTGGGCTGGGAGAAATCTGAAGCCTACTTTCTTGCCATGGACCTAAACAGTGGAGGGTCTGAGAGGGAAAGAAGAGCAACTGGAACACACAGTTCTGGTAATTAGGAGTCCAAGGAGAAGACCTGTTCTTTTCTCAACTAGAGAGGTCTATCCCTCTCAGGATGGCTCCACAAGCCCCCAAAAGGGTTAACAAGACCCTAAAAATAACCTGCTCCCTGCAGGACCCACTGAATGGAACCATCCAGCCATCTGTTCCCATTTTTTCCTGTTCACATTGGAACATCTAAAACCAGCCCAAAGCCCCAGCCTGATCCCAAAAATAGCCCCAGCCTGCCCAAGGAATAAGTTCCAGAGGCTGGGCATAGGCAACAATGGTTAGCCCTCCAGTGAGACATGACTCAGGCCAACTGTGAGCCCTCACCCTTGGGCCCATTCTGGTCCCAGAAGGAGGTACTGAGTAGAACCAGGCGTCCCAGCCCACCCCTCTTGGTATAAGGCTGGAGAAGATACCCTCGAACCATGGCCAGGCCTCAAACCCAGGAGTGTGGGCGCCCCAGGCACTTCTGCCACATTTTGATCAACTTTCTCCAGGGATGTGGACACTCACTTCCCAGAAGATCCAAACCACCTATCTGCAGAGCTCCCCTCATTGTAGGTACCATCCCTACTGCCCACTCCTGGGCTCCTTACCCAGAAGTTCCCAAGCCTCAGCTCCTCCACCATCCCATTCTCATCCTTGGGCCTTTAGGAGCCCTGCTCACCCAGCATCACTCAGTACTATCCCCTGCTCCAGTGCACATAGTGCTGAAGCAGACTTTTTCTGGACTGCCCACACTCACCCATCAGCCCAGGAAAGGATTCTGGGGGTGTTCTCTGGACACCATAGATGCTGATATCACCCCCCCCTCCCCCGCCGCTGGACTTCAGGATGCCTCCTCCCTGCCTGTCTGTGTGCAGCAGGTGTCAGACATGCCCATCTGGGCTCCTCCACATGTCGAAGTTCTGAGCACTGCCTCGCCACACCCAGGAGAAATGCCCAGGTGGGTCACAGGCAATTCAGGGAACATGGAGCCCTGAGGCAGGCCTAAAAGAAAGGTCCCTGACCCCTTAGCCAGGGAGGAGAGGAAGCAGCCATCTAAGTTGTTTAAAGACAGAATGAATGTCTTGTTCAGCCTGGGCAAAGAACAGAGCAGCAAGGAACAGGATGGTTGGAGGGGTGCTGAAGCTGATCTGAGCTAACACCTTGGGGGAGAGAGGGCTCAGCCATGAGAAGTGCTGGGAGACAGGAAGAAAGACATGTCCTAAGTCCCCTAGACCCCTCTCCAGACCCATGGCTATTTGGCAAACTTGCAGTCAATTTGTCAGCCAGCACCAGCCCTAGCTGGCTAGCTTAGTTGCTTAGATCATTATCCTGATACCCCAAGACTGTGGGTTGGATCCCTGGTCAGGGAACATATAAGCAGCAGTCAATGAATGCATAAATAAGTGGAACAACACAATCAATCTCTCTTTCTTCCTTCATGTCTCTCTCTCTAAAATCAATAGATAAAAATTTTTAAAATATTTTTAAATGTCAGCCAGCACCAACAATGGGGAAACTGAGGCAGCAAGAAGGTGGGTCTGGAAGTGTATTAGAATCCAGCAGTCTAAAGTGCTGGCAAGGCTGTCTCTTCCTGACCCCCACCTGCCTCACTGCTTCCCCTGCTAAAGCTCTTGGGAGGGTCAAGAGTTCCTGTGAAGAGCTATGACTAATAATGAGGATTATCTCTAACATTTATTGAGCATTTACTCTGAAACATCATGCCGTCCTGAATGCTTCACATGCATTATCTGATTTAGTCCTCAGAACGACTCTATGCAAAAGTACTTTTAATTATTTTTTTAAAAGATTTTATTTATCTTTAGAGGGGAAGGGAAGGAGAAAGGGAGAGAAATATCAATGTATGGTTGCCTCTCATGTGTCCCCTGAGGGGAACTGGCCTGCAACCCAGGCATGCACCCTGACTGGGAATCAAACCGCCATCCTTTCATTCACAGGCCCACGCTCAATCCACTGAGCTACACCAGCCAGGGCTACTTATTTATTTTTTAATTTTAGAGGGAGGGAAAGGGAGAGACACATCAATTTGTTGTTGTCTGTTCCACTCATTGGTTGCTTCTTCTTGTATGTGCCCTGACCCCACCTACAGAGAAGGCATGGAAAAGTTGGGTAACTGCTTAGGGTATACCATCCAGAATTAGAAGTCAGGATTTGAACCCAGACACTCTAGCAATTGGGTTCTTAACCATTTCATAATCCAAATTCACCCTGGTATCAGACCCTCTGTGCTATGATGAAAGAACGGGTGTCTCACCCATTCCAGTCCCTCCATGCCTGATGTGAACCAGGTCCTAGCTAGAGGCCACAGTTCCTCCTGTCCAGGGAAGAGTTCAAAGAGAGGACATCACGCTCCCTCAAAACAGGTGCCCAGCCTAGCAAGTGTTCTAAGAGCAAAGTTCTTGGGCTGCCCCAGCCCACCTACCCTCAATCCATTATGATCCTGGTCCTTAAGTATCAAGGGAGGGAGCATGGCAAGTTACCATGACAACAGCACAGGACCCCAGCTGAGGGAGGAGACCCAAAGTCAGGAAAGGAGTCTGCTGCCCCTCCCACTGGGCAAGTAAGGGTCAAAGATCAAGTGGGGTGGAGTCCAGCCCTGCCCCCAAACCTGCTCAGCCACACCTATCACTGCTCCCACTTTTCTCATTGCCTGAGCTGGATGCTGGGACCACTTCCTCCCAGTCCCTGAGGGGTAGTGTGTTCCAGTATGGGGGTGGTGGGATTAAAAGCCCCTCCCTCCTGAGGACAATCTAGAAGTGTCTCCTCCTTGTGCACAGCTTTCTCCAGCTTTTCCTAGTCACACTAGGAGCCTACAGGCATGTTTGTTGTGATTTCAGGGAATTGTTGTTAAGCAAGGGAGGAGGGAAGGGAGGCAGGGAGGAAAAAAGCAGGGTGGGAGAGAGAGCCTTGTGTCTCTAGGGGCCAAGGCAGAAACCACAGTACAGTGGCTGGGTAGCCACCCTGGCTTTGAACAGCTAGCTGAGGCAGAAGCCTGCAACAAGGCTGACAAGGGCTTGGGATGACTAGGAAATTCAACCTTGCCCTCCAGGGTTGATTGGGCTGGAACCCCCACCTCCCACCTGAAGAAAGGATCCAGTGAACAAGAAGGCTGGGACTTTCTCCCTGGAGTGGCTGCTTTCACCCTTTCTGCCCTGGCCTAGTCCCCACTCCCTACCAGGTTGCAGTCCAGGTTGCCAGGCTGTTAGCCCCACCTCTTCTGGGGGAAGAGAATGAAAGTGGGGGCCAAAAAGCCAGGAGGAAGGCACCCAAGACAAAAAGCCAAGCAGGAGACCATGGCAGACAAAGATCAGCAAGGAGGCTGCAGGGCAAAACAGGCACACACCAGCAGAGGACCTCCCTCTTCAGGGATAATGTGGGTCTGGGCTCAGGCTCAAAGGTGTAGTATGGAATTGGGGCTCCTTGTAGAGAGAAAGGGTCATAGCTACAAGCCCCAGGCCAGCAGTCTATATCCCTTCTTCTCCCATAACCCCGGCCTCATCCCAACACACACACCAGGTAAACGTGTACACACATACCCATGGCCTGCAGCTCCTGGAAGTCTCTAAGCTACTGAGACACCCCGCCCCCTTCAGGACTTCCGTGGATTGGCTGACAGCCAGGACCAACAAGCTCCCCCACTACACTACTTCTCCCCTATCATGGTAGCAGGAAAAAGAAAGTTCAAGAAGATGCCTTAGTGTTCCCTCAGAGTTCAACCCCACAGGGAAAGAGATGGAGAAGACAGACAACTCCCATGACCTGGTCATAGGACCTGAGGGGAGGCATGGATGGGTAGGCCTGAGGACCTCGACTTCCAGCACCAGCCACCCCCAGGGTTATCCTATGTCAGGGAAAATAATGATATGGGTCCTATGTCGCTATGTGGTCTCCTTGGCTACACCCCTTGTCCCCTGAGCATGCCAAGTCCTCAGGAAAAGATCTGGCTGGGAGGGCCTGGGGTGAGAGAATCAGGCATAGCAGTTCAGTAGGAGGGTGGTGGGTGAAGCTCCCAAAGGCAGACAGACTGGGAGGCTGGTGGCTGGGCTCAGTTTGTATTGGGGGTCAAAGGGGAGTTCTTTTCCAAAGAATTCTGGGAGAGAGGCCAACTAGAGCAAGCTGCTAACCACCCCTCCCTCTCCCTCTCCCTCTCTGGCAGAAGGGAGGGGGTGTCCCTGCCAACCAGACTTAACCCTCTCCAGCCTGTGCTGCTCCGAGGCACAGGCACAGGACGGGAGGGAGTTGGGAGGAAGACCTTCCTCCGAGTTGGGCTCAACTTGGAGTTCTAGAACAAGTGCAGGGCATCTGTGGTAATAACGCTGGTTCCACAAGGTCTCATCTGGGACCACCCTGCCCTACCCCTGGGTGATTTTTCTGGGCTCATCTCCTGAAGGTGTCTGTAGT